AATTAAAATGAAAAAATAAAATTTAAATACATGTAATATGTTATAAAAAAAATTATCTCAATTGTTTAAACATAATATGTTATTAAATACACGTGTTCAAATTATTAATTACTACTAAAAGTTTATACTTTTATTTTTTGACATTTTTTGTTTTAAATTGTATAATTTTTTTTTATATCCTTCTAAACGACAAGGATTTGAACAATAAATTTTTTTAATACAAATATTTTTTTTAACAAAAGGCAAAAACATTAAGGAAATGAATGACTTTTTAAACACTTATCAAACATGGTAGATTTTGTTAAATTTTTTTATCTCAGTTGTCAATTAAACAAATTAAAATAAATAAATAAATAATTTTTTTTTGGTTTAAATAGTTATGAAATGACTTTTGCTAAAATCAAATAGAAATAAACATTATTTTTCTATTAAAAGTGATGGTTGGGGAAACTTTTTTTTTATATAATAAAAAAATGAGAGTTACGAGTGATAATTTATTATTTCGACAACGCTAACCCACACTTTCACTTACAATAATGATGTGTCAATGGAGTTGGGTCCCATGTTATTAAAATGTATGGCAAATAAAGAGTTGATACATATAATACCACATCATTATGGGTACAATTGTGGCTATTTTTGTATATTTCAAATATTTTTTTTTATTGTTCATTTAGACTTTTTTAGCACTTGCAAAATATAATAGATCTTGTTAATGTTTTTTTAATCTCAATTGTCAATTAAACAAACTAAAATAAAAAATGAAATTTTTTTGCTCAAATTGCTAAATAGTGACTTTTGTTAAAAAAACAAATAAATGTTATTTTTTTAATTAAAAGTGATGGTTCGTGAAATATCTTTTTTTATTAAAAAAATGAGATTGGTAATCTAGAATTACTTTCAGATCAAATGAAAACACCATTCTGAATTTTCTTCTTACCTTTTTTTTTTAGGAAAATTTACCCATAAGTCCTAGTTTCTGAAAAGTTGAACCATTTAGTCCTAAAAGTTTTCTTATGCTCCATTTAGTTCATTATCTGTATTATTAAGAACATATTATTTTATGCCATTATAAAATATAATTTTTTTAATATCAACTTATTTGATGATCCATTTTTAAAATGGAGTATTTTTTAAACATAAAAAGAAATTCTATTGAAAAAACTTAAGCATATTGCTTTTGTTTTTGTTCATTAAAATTAAAATTTTAATTAATCTTATTTATTTTGAAAAAAAAATAAATTAGCAAATAATTTTAGGAGAAATTACAATATTCTAAATTTTCTTCTCACCTTTTTTTTATCCAGATATTTTTATTTTGTAATAAATTTAATTTTGTTATATTTATATTATTTTATGCCATTATAAAATATAATTTTTTTAATATCAACTTATTTGATGATCCATTTTTAAAAAGGAGTATTTTTTTAAACATAAAAAGAAATTCTATTGAAAAAACTTAAGCATATTGCTTTTGTTTTTTTTCATTAATATTAAAATTTTAATTAATCTTATTTATTTTGAAAAAAAAATAAATTAGCAAATAATTTTAGGAGAAATTACATTCCAGTGGGACATAATTTTTTTTTTTTTAACACAAACATTGCACCCCCCACGACTTGCACCACATCATAAATTCAATTGCACTCCACTATGTTGCAACTCCCCCATAATTTTATATATTTATATATACAATTTTATTTTAATTGCTCAAGTTATTTGGTGTCTCTGCAAAAGTCCACTCAAATTTATTTGAATTTTACATAAATCCTCACCAAATTAAAAATTATGTTGCCTAATCTTTAAAAAATTCCAAACTTGACTTGAGTTGCTTAGATTGAACTCGCCCGAGTTTACTACTCTAACAAAGGGGTTGACAGTTACATGATTGAAATTGTGACAAATTAAAAATTAATACATGAATTGTGAAACTTGAATTGTAGATTTCAATTTTTTTTTTTGTTTTCATAATTTACATACAAAAATTTAACTATTTATATTATTTTCTATAAAAATATTAGTATTAATTTTTTCATATCCTGTGCACTAGTTTTCACTAGTATATTATTAGTTGTAATTAATTGTGTAATAACTATATGTAAATAAATGAACCAATTACAAATATTTATGTACGATGTGATATAACAAAAAAACGGTGACATATAACATTTCTTTAATATAAAATTTTATAAAAATATTTTTTAGTGTAATTAAATATTTAGAGTGACAAATTAAACTTGTTTTTTTTTAAAGAAAAAAAAGTTTTAAAAAAATCGTGATATAAAATTTCAAGAAATTATTTTAAAGGATTATATTGAAATACATTTTTTTATTAAAAGCATAAATATTAATTTCTCAAAAGTTGGGAGGGACACGTGACTCACTTGAACCGCAGGTACCTCTGGCCCTGCTTAGTGTGCACAGAGCTTTTAGTTTTTGTCACCTTAACTATATAAATTGAATGTCTCTATTGGAAATATATTTAAAAATTATTTAACTTTTTCACGAGATTCTATTTTTACACACAATATATATATATATATATATATATTTTTTTTTAAATTCACGTTATCGCTTTAATTTAGATACCCATTGTTAGATAAAAATCTATGATTCGGATAAATGAAACCTCTATGGTTCAGCTATTCTTTTCGTTTGGTAGTTGACATATGGATAAAAAAAAATTTGTTAAGTAATTAATATCCGAGCAGTAAAAATAGTGTAATAAAAAAAAAGTGGAGTGTAGAAATAAAAGAAAAATTCTACTTGGGACATTTCCAATGCATACTTATTTTTTTATATATTAAGGCCTCGTTTGGCAAGAGGCTATTTTAGTCAATTAGCTAAAAAGTTGCTAAATTAGCCAAAAAGCCAACAATCCATACCAAAAAGTCAAAGATTCTTTTTTCTCTCTACTTTTTGCACATATTTTCGTAATTAGCCAATTTCGTTTGGTAGTTGACATATGGATAAAAAAAAATTTGTTAAGTAATTAATATCCGAGCAGTAAAAATAGTGTAATAAAAAAAAAGTGGAGTGTAGAAATAAAAGAAAAATTCTACTTAGGACATTTCCAATGCATACTTATTTTTTTATATATTAAATTTGAGTAAAGATTTAAGTTAAAATCTCCATCTGATATCAACCGTTCCAATGCTAAATTTTTAATTTTTATCAAATAACCGATCGATTGGAAGGACGATCGGGAGGATGTTCAGGCGGTCAACCGGCAATGGGCAACTTTGCAAGTAACTGGACAATTGGCTAGTCGTTTGGTGTATGGTGAAGCGCAATAGCTCTTTCCAAAAATTTGATGAACACTGAAACCTGTCTCGATTTGATGAAACTTTTGGTTTTCCCCTCATTTGATATAGGCTTGATGCTAGGGTTAGAGGAGAAAAAGTAACCATGTTTCGCCAAATTTAAATTTGATTCCAAATCTGACTAAGCATTGGAGAAACTTTTATACAACACTTTTATCTTATTATACCCTTCATTTTTATATCTTTTTTATTACATCTTATTTCTTTGTAAAATTATATTAAGGACTAAAAATTCCAAACATTCCTCTTCATATTTCTCTTTACATTTTTATCTTTTTTTTCATCCACCACCACCACCTTTCTTCTCCACCAACCACCACTACCTAGCCATCATCCTTTTTCTCCACTAACCACCACCACCTTTCTTTCATTTCCCACCCTCTCCATCCATCTACAAATCCAAATACATCTACCTTAATACATATATATACACATACATATAAAATAAAATAAAAACAACAGACAAAAGAAATAAATTAAAATGTACATATAATCATTATAAATAAATAATGTATATATTTTTTTGTGTTCAATAGATGTGTGGATATAATTTTTAATCATTTTGATATAGTTTCGCATAATTTAAAAAACAAGTGAGTTTGAAACTTCTTCCGACTAAGTTTATTCAGACTTCTATGACCGATCATGGTTAATTAATCAATTTTGGACCATTTGGTGGGACACGACTGAACAAACATGATTTGCTTGGCCGTTTCCAACCGAACAAACCAAATTTGTTCATTGTGTCCCGCCGAACAAACAAAATTTGTTAAGTTTTGGTTCGTCAAACAATACACAAATGTTGAAAAGAAGCTGAGAGGTCGCGGGGTAGTGACCATGGTGGTGGGGTTGCAAGGTGGTGGTTAGAGGTATGGTGGTGGCGACAACGATGGTTGTAGTAATTGCAGATAAAGTTGGGATTTGAAAGATTTAAGCTGTAAGAAGAAGAGAGTATATTAGGAATGAGGTTATAAGTGATATAAAAAAAGTGTGTAGACAGATAAAATAATATTTTTGAATTTTTGGGGGATGTGTAATTAGAAAAATGGTGTAATAAGGTAGAATTATTGTGTAAATAGAATCACCAAAAACAAATTGTCCCAACTTTTGGTCCTTTTTATTACGAAATTACTATATTAGCCTTCATTATCTTTGAAGAATTTGTGAAAGACCCATTTGATATTAAATAAAATTAGTATCCATAGGGTTAGAGAAAGCCCAAAAGTTGGCACTTGGGACAACCAAACATGCCAACCCAATGAAGAATTTTAAGGAGCCGAGGAGAGTCTTCATATTTTTCTTTTAAAAAATAAATAAATAAATTGAAGTCAGGATCGATGGACAATAACTCAGTACGCTCAATTAAAATTTTAAAAATTTAGTACCTATTATATCTTAATGCAAATTCTCCTCGGTACGCCCAATAAATAAATAAATTGAAGTCAAGGTAACTCAGTAGGCCTAATTAAGATTTTGAAAATTTAGTTCTTATTTTATCCTATTCTAGCTCATGATATGTGATGTGATAAGTGTCAATTTTTTATTTGCCACACATTCAACAATATAAAACTCAACTCTCTTGTTACATTATTATAGATAAATTGTAAATCTAAAATTATGAATATGCAGCATTTCTTACACTATGTTTGATTGAGGAATTTGTGAAGAGATTTGAAAAGAGAAAGAGAAACGATAAGTGAAATATAAATAAAATATAATACACTTCACCTAATTTTACACATTTTTTATATTTTTCTTTCTAAATTTATTTCCAAATCTTCCAAATAATTAGATTAGACCTCTTGTTTCTTTTCCCACACAGTTCTTTACACGATAAACCAAAACAATGTAACCAATGTCCTCAATCTCTAATTGGGTCCCTAATTGTAATCAATGCTAACCTTAAAAAGGGCAGCTAATCTTTCCACCCATCTTTGTTAAATCGTCTGGAAGCAAGCCCTTTGGATGAGAGACTTGGAGTCACAGGCATTGAGGGTGTTTTGGGTGCCTCTTCGTCATCCCAATCGTCACCCCAACTGTTGTCCCACCCATCATTTAAGTCCGACTCTGCTTTGCTCCCGCCTGAAACTGGCAGCTCCGCGTCTAGCTTTTGATATTTAGAGCCATTGCTTTTGTTGAAATGCCGCCTCTGGAAGCTGACACACATCCACGCTGATACCATTACCAGTAGAACACCAAAAACAATGAATACAACCAAAGGAGGTTTCTTAACAAGGTTGATGTACGCTGTTTTGGTGCTGTGGTCGGTTTCTTTGTTGAAATCTCGTGGAATAAGATCCCCGAAATCAAGACTGCAATTACCTTCTCCTGCTTTTAGAACAATAAAGTTGTCAGTTCCACCGCTCTTGATAGAAACTTTCACCTGCATAATGCAAATCTTTAGTCAAACCCCAAATTTTCAGGTCAAAGATAAATTAATTTTTTTTTAATGGCTGGTCAAGATTGTTTTAAATGGAGAGAAAAGAGCCACTAGTATGAGAATAACCGTACAGATAAAAATATCAGAAAGGTTATCTGACCAGAAACAATGTATAGATGATGCACCAAGTAATGTGGAGTAAAAGAAGCTCAAGAAAGACTAAATTTAAAGAAGCGATAATATTTGGACGTTGGCATAACTTCATAGAGAAACTAATAAAAATCTTCTATAACTATGTTTCTATTATTATTAGTTTTATTTTATAATTATTTTATGTTTTTCGGATTTTGAGGCGAGGGGTATTTTGGTATTTTTATGTTTGCTGACATGGGTCGTCTTGGGAGTCAAGTTATTATTTAATCTTATTTAGTAGTTTTGGAAGTCAATGATATTATAATAGTTTCATTTTTGGTTCTAGTTAGTTTAACAAGTCTCATAGTTCCATATAAAGCCATGTAATACTTATAATTTAAGAGAGTTGATATTTAGAGAATTTTGAAAAGCTTTAAAGCTTTCTTATGGATTGTGTGATGCAACCCTAACCCTAGGTGTGATGCCTAAAGGATTTTAGGAGTGATTCCTAAGCCTATCTTCTTCTTTCTTTTTCTTTTCTGTTTCAATTTACTATTCACAGCCTCTAAAAGTGCTATTCACGGCTCTCTAAAAGTGCACTTTTCAATCTCAAAACTCTATCCAATTACCCCCAAATCAATCATAATCCATTTCCCTACCTATTAGCCTTCAATTTAACCCTTTAAACCCTAAATTACTCACTGTTAAGGCTGTCAAATAACCTCTGTTTTCAAAATTCAGCCGTGTCCTACATCACCAGGGGTCCTATTTCTGCTGTTTGGCAACATGTATCTTAGGGAAAATTATATTAGCATTATCAATTAGACCAAATTGGCTGACTATTTCTATCAAAAACTCTAACCGACGTTATTAATTGGGCCAAAATGACACAAAGTTCAAAATTAGGGGTCAAAACCGTGTCAATTAAAAGTCTAGAGAGCAAAATAACACAAGCAGCAAAATGCAAGGACTGCCCGTGTAATTTGCCCTTTATGATAAGAGATAGGCCATAAATTTGACAGTTTGTGTCAGTATGTGTCTCCAGATGCAAAGGAAGCCTTCATATCCTTACTCAACAATCAATTTCCAACTTGTACCAAAAAAAGGGAAAAATAATCATTGTCCTACAACCAGGGCGAACAACAAGAAACATTATTGCAAGTCCAAAACACAAGTCAGCTAGATGAGGACATAAATAAAGCTATCAAGGGCCTTGACAAAGTATATTAATGTGCAAAATAAACATTCCTTACAGACATTGACCTCCATTCTTCTTTAATTAAATAAAATTTCTGTCACCCATTAGCGAATTAGTTGATAATGTTATGTGGCCAGCAGAACCAATTAACAATCTTGGGGCTGACAAAAATATTTCCTCTTAAAATATGTACAGTGCCTCAGGAAGAGAGAACAGGGAGGTGTGTGTTTGGCAAAAGTAATTCATTCCCTCCAACTCAGAAACCGCTCGCTGTGACACCTCCCGATTTATTTTCGCATTTCTCTGCCCAACCATTTCTTAGCCAACCCACTTTCTCTCAACCTTTAACACAATTCTCTGCCTATGGAGACAATCCTTTTAACAGCTCACCTTCCACAACAACTTCAAGAGTTGAGACAACACTTATCGTCACTAAAACAAAAATTGAACTTGCTTGGAGTGGAATGTTATCAAAATCACATTTCTTTTCATGGCAAGGCATATTGAATCATGTTGTGCTATTTATTGATATGCTATGTCAGAATTCAAAACTTATCCAGACTATTGAACTCAACAATTCATCAACTATGAAACACAAATACTCCAAAATAGGTTGCATACGAGTATCGGAAACAGATACGCGTCTGATATGCCGGGATACGGCCAGAAAGTATCCCTTTTTTTTCTTTTTTTTTAAATTTCAGATACGGCTCGGATACACATGGATACGTGGGAGATACGTTCCGCATACTTTTGGGATATGACAAGGTAGAAAACATAATTTTAAAAACTTTTTTGTGGGTAAAACCATAAATAAAAGAAGTTAAATTGAAATAAAATCAGATCCTCAAATTGACATACACGCATGAACTAAATTCAACAAAAACAATGAGAAGAAAAACCCTAGGCTCAAATTGACAAACCAAAGCTAGTTCCTTCTGTCTCGATTGACAAATAGCAGAAGTATTGAAGCAAAAATATGGTTTTTTCTTCTTGATCGACCTTGAAGGGCCCAAAAAGAGGATGGTTTGAAAATGAAAAACAAAGGTGAAAAGGCCTTACCAACAAGGAATAAAGAAGGGTGAACCACCCTCTAACCTTAAATGGCCTAAAACACCAATTTCAGCGCATAAAAATAGAGTTTTTTAAAGCCCAAAAAATAACCCAAAACAATAAGAAAAAGATAGAGAAACAAATGTGCAAAACAAGCTAACAAGGCAAGTATTATACCTCTTGAAGAGAAAGTGATTCCAAGCAACAATTCAAGCTAAAACTACCTTCTAAGCTCCAAGAAGGCTTCAAGAAACCTTAGTCCAAAAGTGATCAACTTTGGTCAAGGAAGTGTAGGCAAAAGTGTAGAGAATTTGTAGAGAGGAGAGAGAGGAAAATTTGAGTCTAAAATTTTTCTAGCCTTGCTACAAGAGAGAGGGGGTCTCTATATATAGAAAACATGAAATTTCTACAAGGAGATCCAGCCCTCCACGTGTGGATAGATGCATGCATCTGTGCAAACAGCTGGCACAGCTGGCATAGCTGGCATAAAATATCTGCAGAAAACATTGGTGGCCGGCAAGGCACATCAATGGCCGCAGACCAAAATGATGGCTGACAGCCTCCAGGATGGCCGGTAGGCTACCAGAGGCTACAGGCTGGAAAGACCAAGCATGGTCAAAAATGAGAATAAAATGATGTAGGGTTTGAAAGGTTCAAAGCTGTGGCCTTCCGCTGAAGATTCGAGCACTCGGCGAGCAAACAAACTCATCATTGGGTGTACCTGCAAGGACATCCAAGTTGTAAGGGCCGTAAAAATAGGGTGTCTACAGCGGTTGTCAGCTTTCTCACCAGACGTTCGCTCGGATGACCGATAAGATGAATTTCGAGCTATTCGAGCCCATGTCCTTATCGGGATACAAAAAATGTTTGGTAGCCTGAAAAGAAGGGGCTCGAAATGGCCCGAATGGGTGTTTACCGTAACATTCGCTCGGACGGATCGGTGAAAACTTGTCTACCGCGTTGTCACCTTTGTCAATCGTGACTGACAGCCTTCTCGCCGAACAACTGACTAGACGTTTCCCGAACGAGTGGCAAGATGCATTTTGAGCCATTCAAGCCAACCTCCTTTTCGAGCTACCAAACATTGCTCATTAAAAAAGAAATATGAATTGCACCTTGCATTAGACTAAATAAGTGCACTTTTTGACTTTTTATGAAATATGGGTTGGGTTTGAAGTGATGTGTTAGAGAGGTGATGTGACTTAAATAAGATGATGTGACTTAAATAGGATAGTGACTTTTTGACTTTTTGTCTTTTTTTCAATCATGCCAAACTTGGCCTAAATTACGGCATAAAAGTAACATAAAAAATGCTAGAAATTCTAAAAATTTTACTAAAAGTTCTACTAAATTGTCTTACATTGTGGAAATTTTGATAAAATTTTTGGAATTTCTAGCATTACTTAAGTGAGATTGGGTTGTGGAAATTTTTTTATTTTGAATAAAAGTGAGATATGATGATAATGATGGAGGTGCTCTGGAGCCGAAAAAATCACCCTATTTGGTTACTCTTTTTTTGCACTTAAGTTTTTGAAAATTATTAGAGGTTTTGTTCGGTTATTCAAAATAACTAAAAGAGTTTTTTCAAAAATCTTTTTTTTTTAGATTTTTTTTTTCAAAATCTCTTATTGGTTCCTATTTTATGTTTGATACATATATAGTATGTACATATATACATAAAAATAAATATGGTAATACAAGCTTCGTTTGACATTTTGATTTTTGGCCAAAAAAAGCACAAAAACACAAAGCCTGTGTTTGGCAAGTGGGTTTGTAGGCTTTTTTGGCTATTTTAGCACACAAAAAACAAAATAGGCTATTTTAGCCATAACAAACAAAACATCACACACCAACCCATAACATTACATTCTTCTCTCACAAAAAAACTCAAAAAAAGCCAAAAAGCCCTTCCCAAACCAAGCTTTTAAGTCCAGGCTAAAATAGCCAAAAAAGCCAAAAGTCAAAAAAGCCAACCCACTTCCCAAACGGAGGCAAAATTAACTATATAAGTCAATAAGACAAAATGTCATATCCAAATCATAATTATTACACTTTTTCTCTTACAAAAGTCAAAAAATCAAAACCAACGAGACTAAGGCCAAGTTTGGCATGACCCTA